GTAGGACTAAGCACTTAGTCTCGCGAAAAAAAAACCAAAAAAAAAAAAAAAAAAGGCACCTTCATCAATGTTCTCACCACCCATGGTTCTCATGTTTATAGAATTCTCCAACTTTGTTATCTATAACACTTTGGGGTTAGGGAATGAAGTAGTACTTTATGGAGTCAAATATTTTTCCTTTCAAATGCTGTTACAGGTCAAGAAAAAGAACACAATAAACAAACAAAAAAAACCCACGAACATATTTTATATGCAGGCAAAAAAGGCAAACACAATGACAAAGTGTTTAGACTAAGGAAGGCATGTGAAAAGTAGAGTAAAATAAATCTATTATCAGTATATGTAAAAAAATCATTTTACTTGCCTTGGGGGAGGTCCCATATTTTTGTGAGGGCACCAACTAAACTAGAATTAGCAGAGGTTTAGTACCAGAATATTATTCAAAACATTATTTACATGTGTTTGCATATGTGAATGAAATCTATTAGAGCATATAAAGGATATATGTTTAACCAAAAGGGAGAAGAAATCATACCTTTGTTGTTTAGAAGCCAATTGACATTTGCATTGCCAATTCTAATCATCGTTGCTACATTTTCTTGTTTTGTTAGTGACTTTGCTTTTAGACAATGTGTTTATATTTCTACAGGTAAAACAAATATGTGTTAATTTCCTGGGCAAGCAGCTGGGTGGTTAGCTCAGTTGGTTAGAGCATAGCTTTGTAACACCAAGGTCAAGGGTTCAGATCCCCATACCAGCCAGTCGCCAAAAAAAAAAAAGCTTCCATAAGTTTCTTGGGCAAGTAGGATTCCAGTATCAGAATACATTCTTTATGAATTGTTTCTAATTAAGGCATAGCAAATTACTTAATCTTACAATGAATTTACAATTAGGACCGTCATTAATAAGTATTTATTAATAAATGTATAATTTGTTGAAGGCACTAGGCTTTTTTTTTTTTTTTTAAAAAGATGACCGGTAAGGGGATCTCAACCCTTGACTTGGTGTTGTCAGCACCACGCTCAGCCAGTGAGCGAACCGGCCACCCGTATATAGGATCCGAACCTGTGGCCTTGGTGTTATCAGCACCGCACTCTCCCGAGTGAGCCACAGGCCGGCCCAAGGCACTAGGCTTTTGTCATGATATATATGACCAAATATATCACAGCCAGTGTCCTTTTCCTTGAAATGTTAGAATGCTTTAGTGTGATTCTATCATTGTTTTCCTGTTCCATGGAACTGCGTCTATTTCTCCCAATTTTAGTAGTATAATGAGAAATATATTGAGTACATACGGCAGGAGAGATGAAAATTTATAGTCCATAATATTATCAAATCATGACATAAAATCTTAAATAAAAAACAATTCCAGAAAAAGAGCAGAGACCATGTTTAAAAAGTCAAGACTGACCACTCAACTTCCATGGGCTCTGACGACTAAATTAATCTCAATCCATAAACCTGCCAGGTTATCTTAGCCCACAGGCTGCATTTTGGCACAAATTTTTAGCTGTGCCAAAACATGTACAGCAGGTGACTGTCCCTCTGTCAGTAGCAATATTTATCTGGATCTTTTAAAAATAACAACATACTTGTATTTGAAAATAACAGTAATATACTTATTGTATTATAACATACTTTTATAATGTACTTTTAGATTATATAATAATATACATTTGATGGATATTTTAGTCTGTTATTAGTTTTGTTCTTCAAATGTGCCTAGAAAAAATTTAAAGCATATTTATAAGTAGAAATATTTAAATGTTGTCAAGTATTGGAAAACGTGTTTGTTTGGTTATTACAGAAATGTAAATTAAAACTCCCCAAATATACTATGGAAGGTATACACATTTATAGTATACAGAAAGATTAGGGATTCCTTCCTTCCGTTTGTCCTTTATCCTGAGGGAAGAGCTAGTGAGAGCTTCAGCTTTAATTTTTATCAGGTGAGAAAAGGACTCTTTTCACATATCTGCTGAATTAAAAGTTCTATTGTTAAACGCCTAAGTTTTTAAGTCACTCAGTTTCCTAGATACTTCAATGGAATCAGCAGTCATTGATCCAACCCCAACTCCACGACTGGAACGTCGGAATGACAGTTCCGAGGCAGAAATTTGACGTAATTCTTTGCGACACAATTTTACAGGTGTGACACCATAAAGTTGTCCCACATTTCCCTCTGGCTGAAATTGGGATGATGGTTGACTGTGAGATTTTGTAAACTGATTTTCATCTATTTCTGTTTTATCCTCATTGCTGAACAGAAGCCCGCTGGGGGGTGCTGCAGAGCTACCGATTGGAGGTAATTCTGAGCCATCTTCCCAAAGCTGCTGAGGATTTGCTTGCCTGCTTGAACTGCTTGCTGATCTGTCTATTTCTCTTTCTCTTCCACTTAATTTCATACTCTCAGTTCTAGATGCCCATTTTAGTTCCGAAAGCATGCCAGCTTCTTCTGGGTTCACGACTCCATCTCCAGCATCACGATCTAAAAATAATCCCCAAACCATAAAATTAGAGATTATTTCCTCAAAATCAGGTATTTTAACCGTAATATTCTAATGTAACATTATTATTCAATATACATGATATTTTTCAGCTTTTTGGTTAAGTAACTGCCTTTAGACAAACAGATGTGTGAATATGAATTATTCTTATTTCACTTATAGGCATCTTGCATGTGATGTGAATAACTCAAAACTGTAATTCATGGAACAAAGTTGAGAAATGGTCTTCTAGGAATTTTGGTTCTCCATGGAAACACAGGAGTGCTTTGGGCCTTTCTGGTGCCTTTCCACACCTGCCCTCTGCTGGACTTGTTGCTGGTGAATTCCAAATCCTGGCCAAGCGAAGCCAGCACTGGAGAATTCTGGCTCTGCCTCATGTCTCCAAGGAAACTTCTGGGACTTGACATTCTGTGTGTGAAAATCTGGTCTTGGTTGGCACTCCCAGCATGACAGCAGAGCTCTGCAGTCTGCATGTATTCTGGGGTGTGTGCCACAACTTCCACCATCAAAATGGAGAACATGGTCTCAATAGAGTGAGTGATTAGAGATCAAAGCCTGAAGTCCTCAAGTCACAGAATATCTAATATCAAATACAAAAACATGTTCATGGGATACCCATATAGGTCCTAGACCTAATATGATGAAAAATGCCAACTTTAACATATGTTGACACATGCTTAGTACACTTTAAGTCCTGTGAAGACAAAGTCTGAAAACAGAGGTTGCACAATGGCAGCCCTGGAGCAAATGTGGCCCATACACGTTTTACTTGACCTATAATGTCACTTGACCCAAAATTTAAAAATTGAAAAGTTTCATACAAAAATATGTATTTCTAGCTTCCCTAGAAAAATCAGAAGAGCTACCATTTTTTGCATAGCAACAGTAGCTGGAGCAGAATTACCACTGCCCATTTAGACAACTGCTGCAGTTGCCACACTCACGGTGGTTTCCCTGGCTCCTAAAGTCACTCTAGCTTGTAACCGTTGGTTTAAAACCTAACTGATTCTCTAGTTTTTGAAATTCTCTCAAAACAAACAAAAAACTTGAACTAGCAAATGACACAGATCCTCACATGGAACTAGAGTAGATACAAAGTTGACCATAGACAGCAGTTCCCAAACTTTGCTGTACATTAGATTTTTAAAATCCTGCTCCCCAGGGCACAGTGGGGGAGGCAGCCAGGCATCTTTTTTTAAAAGATCATTATGTGAGGGCCACCCGGTGGCGCACTCGGTAGAGTGCGGCGCTTGGGAGCGCGGTAGCGCTCCCACCGAGGGTTCGGATCCCATATAAAGACCGGTCCGCGGGCGTTGACACCGAGGGTTGCGATCCCGTTGCCGGTCGCGGTACGGGCGCGACACTGAGTGTTGCGATCCCTTTACCGGTCACGAAAAAAAGACAAAAAGGGGGAAAAAAAAAAAAGATCATTATGTGAAAGAGCACACATGGGCTCACTGCCAAGCCTCACTCCCACGCCCACTTGGGTTCTTCGCAACAGAATATTTCCCTCTTCCAGAATTTTACAATTGAGGGAACAAACTAGGGAAAGATTAGTTAGTGCAAGGTCACACTGCTAGTAACAGAAGTTAGGATTCCAACCAAGATCTTCTGACTCTAGTATCCTTTCATACAGTTTTATAGCGATTTAAGTTGACAAGGATAATTTTAAATACTTAACAAGTAGAGAAACTGAATGTCCACATAAACTGATTTTATCCTCCCAAAATATGTCAGAAAACAGACACACTAAAAACAGAGGCATGACTATCAAGTGACCAAGTTAGTTTAGTCAAAAGGTTAATTTTTCTGCTATTTGAAAATGCCAAAAATATTCAAAGAAAATAAATATAAGTCTGGGAGGCAGACAATAAAAAGGGTACTATCAAAACCCAATAAACTGAGAGAAAAAGAAAGACCACAATAATATGCTGAACTTTCAAAAGGAGAGAACAAATCTATGGTTACTTGAGGTGGGAGGGAGGTAGGAGGAGGAGGTTGGGGACAGATTGGGTAAGGGGCATAAAGAATAATTACGATTTGTAGTAATGAATATGCTAATAATATTGATTTGATCACCACAAGTGGTACACAGGTGATGGTAGTCAATGCTGTACCCCCAAAATATGTATAATCAATTATGCTTCGATAAAAAAAAATTTTTTTTAAACCAAACTGAATAACAATACAGTTACATATTAACTAGGATACTGATTATTAAGCATATAAGCCATTTTAAGGAACTCAGAATTTGATAAATTTAAATTGCTGTATTTTATAACTCAAACAAATCTTGTTTAATGTCATTTTATTAAAGTAGCAGTTTGAGAAAGGATATAGTATAAGCTATATGCCCAAAATAATTGCAACTGTATTTTTTTAAAGCATAGGAAAAATGTGAAAAGAATTATGCTAAAATTCAGGTAGGATTATGGGTGATTTGTTTTCTGCTTCTTTGTTTTGGTATTATAAAATTTTTCTATAATGACTATATATGAGGGTACTTCATAAAGTTCATGGAAAGGTTTGTATTATGTTTTAATTCTATTTTTCCACGAACTTTTTGGTGTACCCTTGTATTATTTTTTATGGCCCCAAAATAAAAGTATTTAAAATGTTTCTAGGTAGAATAGCATATTAGCTGCAGTAATATCTTCAACATTATTATCAAGACTAGATTTCTTGGGTAAGTTGGTCAGAAAGGTGCTACCCTCATTTTATACCTCTCCAAGGCTAGTTAACTTTGTTTTAGCTTTTTGTGTTTGTTTCATTGACGAGCAGGATGAGGACCCAGGTTTCTTAAACCATACTACACCACACTAAACTGTCATTTTAAAAGAAATGTCTCGTAGACTCAGTAGTATAAACATGGGCCATTTACAGACTAGGTATCTCAAACTTGATAGATTTTTATGTTTTTGTTTGTTTTATTGGTTGTTTGTGGGGCTCTTTTGGTGGCTGGCTGGTGTGGAGATCCAAGCCATTGAAAACGTCATCAACACCGTGCTCTAACCAACTGAGCTAACCAGCCAGCCCCAATAGTACATTTTTTAAAAAGCTAAAATGGTCTGGTCTTATGTTGATTATTCTCTGTTTCTTACTTAATATGTGTTTACTTTTTGCAAGTAAAAGTCTCAAGTAAAAGTTTCAGCTATACATTGCAGGCAGTAATTAAAGCAAATGTTTGACTTCTATCAGTAAGTACATCTGTATTACGGTACTGACAATCAGAAACGTTGGTCTCTTTGGCAGGATTTGTATGTTTATATCACATCTCTATCTTAAGACAACTTTTAATGCAGAATAGTGGACCAGGAAGTTAGAAGAAAACGGACCTTAGACCATGTTCAAATTACTATTCTATTCGTGAGTCACTTGTCCTCTCTAAGCTTCAATTCCCTCATCTAAAAATGGGATTAGCAGACACCGCCTACCCTGTTTGAGGCTTAAATGGAGCTATTTGTGAAAATGTGTGTAATGATAAATATAATAAATATAAGGTAGCATTAGAACTACTTTTCTAAAATATTACTGAGCTTTAAATTTTAAAACTACATTGTCTACTTTTAGTATATATTCAGCACATATCTTTTCATTGAGCAATACATATAAATTTTCACCGGTCTCTTCACGTCTTGTGTGCCCATCTTTTTTTTTTTTTTTTTTTTTTTGTCTTTTTTCCGTGTCCGGCAACGGATCGCAACCCTCAGTGTTGCCCCCGTACCGGACCGGGGACCGGCAACGGGATCGCAAGCCTCGGTGTTGCTCCCGCGCCTCGCTCAGCCAGTGAGCGGGAGCCGGTCTGTATGTGGGATCCGAACCCTCGGACAGGAGCGCCGCCGCGCTTCCCAAGCGGCGCACCATGCAGTGCGCCACCAGGCCGGCCCTTGTGTGCCCATCTTTAAGCAGTTTTCTTTACAGGTACAAAATAGGTGTGTTCCTAAAAGGTTTTAAAGTCAACTTCTCATAAACCATATCTAAACTATCAGAAGAATAATACTCTCTCCAAAGGAAGGCTAACTCTTTTATAAAATGTAGAGTATATTATTTTAGAAATATTGATTCCTCTCTATTGGGCTGTCTGAAAGAGGGTACATTTTAATCATAGCAATATATTACCTCCATGGCACTTTTTACTTTAACAAGTATTTTGTCACGTTTTATCGTTTAATTTAGGGAAGTGCTAATTCTACATGTCTACATATGATTATGCAAGGAAACACTGTCTCAACATGGTTTTTATTATGTTTTTGAGTTTCCAGAGATCATGACATGAAAAGCTCTCACTTATCTTAGAAACACATATACCTTTACCTTTACATTTATCATTCTCTTTTTTTGTGATAATCAGAAGGCTTAATTTATTATAAAATAGGAAAACAACAGCTATCATAGGTTAGAGGGTTATTTTAAGGATTAAATGAGTTAAGGACTCAAAAGCCCCTGCGACATGGCAGGCAATCAATAAGTGATTATTTCCTTCACACTTACACATTTATTCATTCAGTCATTCACTTCTCATGTGGTTTGATCTTATACATAGACTAGACAACTATTTTTGCCTATAGAAACAAATAAAATGTAAATGTCTAATCCTAAATAACTTAAATAATCAATTGGGGAAGGCTGCACAACAAATTGGGCCCAGCTTCACCAAATGCTAGAGAAACAGTGCTGGCATAACTAGTAACTACGAAAGTCTTACGTTCTGATGGTGCTAGTTGCTGCCGAATTGCTTCCCCTACCAGTTCCTTAAGTCTCTTCTTAAGATCCCTGCTGGTTTTCTTATAGAAATAAAGGTCTTTTTCCAGACGCTGGATTTTATTTTCATATGTTTTTAAAGTTTCCATAATGCCTTCTCCATCTTGCTCTATAAAACAGAAATTTACATTAAAAATGAATTTTAAATAAATGATTCAAAATTATGTTTTAGCATAGCTACCAGACTATATAGTCAGAATTATTTACACATATCTGTTACCTGAATGGATTTGTTTTCAGCTAAAATTTGGATTCTTCTGCCTATAAAATTTTTCAAAGTAGGACTAAGCACTTAGTCCACCTTCTCCACCCTTCCCCTTATCAACTACCACATTTTCATGATTCATAAGTATTTTTTCAGTAGCTACTAACTAGACTTTTTTTTAAAACAATAAGATGTTTTCTATAAAAATTTCACATTTAGAATTCTGTCCATCAGCTGCATTAATATCTTATATCAGCCCCTTACCAGCCAGCCACAAAAAAATAAACAAACAAATTATAAATAAATAAAGTTTATACCAGGAACTGTAGTTATATGAAAAGTCTTAAGCCTAGGGTTTATAGGCCTAAGAAATCTATAGCCAAGAAACCCACAAGAACAAAAACCTGCAAAAAGAGGCTAGAAAAATTAAACCACAAAGGAAAACACCACAGAAAAAGAAGAAAATAGCCAGAATAAGTAAAGTTCTAGTTTATACCATGATATAACTTAAGGCTCTAATTAATATTTATAAATATCAAACACAATCCCAATCGGGTTATGTTCTAGAACCAGTAAAGTCCATTGTACTGACCATCAGAAAATATATATGTTCAGACCTACTCTCTCCTACTGGCATATTTATAAAATGGTCCTACTGGTTTGTAATTTCCTTTTGTCATAATTGGCTGTTTTGTAAAATTTTATTCAAGTATATTTATTTATTCTAGATTAACCTGTCATATTGTTTTTTTAAAATTACTTAAAATTAATGACATCATAAATCGGAATTCCCATAAAGTATGTTACATAAATCAACTTAATACCCCACATTCAGTTACAATTAGAAAATTCATAAATTGTCAACATTTTCAGTTATGACTTTGTTATGAAAAACTTGCATAGCTATAGAAATGAATGATTTTAAAAATGTTCTGATTTGACGATAGCATGAGCTTTTGTGGTATTATCCCGGTCACTAAAAATTCTATTAAAATATTACTTTTAGGGGGGGCCGGCCCGGTGGCGCACTGCTACAGTGCACCGCTTGGGAGCATGGCGGCGCTCCCGCCGAGGGTTCGGATCCCACATACAGACCGGTTCCCGCTCACTGGCTGAGCGAGGGGCGGGCGCGGCACCGAGGGTTGCGATCCCGTTGCCGGTCCCGGTCTGGTACGGGCGCGACACTGAGGGTTGCGGTCCGTTGCCGGACACGAAAAAAGACCAAAAAAAAATTACTTTTAGAGACTTAAGGCAGAACTATTTGAATGCAATGAGATATGTGTGTGGGATCCTGTCATGAGGCCACTGGTTGCTAATTAACCAGTTATAGAGGCATTTCTATGTTAAAAACGAGACCAACAGCAAACCAACAGGATACAACAGTTCTTATGTTTGTGCTTGGGGCAGGCAGAAGGGATGGCATTTCAAGGATGAATAGCCATACATTGAAGTCAACTATAGGAAAACATGGTAACCAGAACATGTAAAGCCCCAACACTTGTATAAGTAGTAACTTTTTATACATGTTAGGCTTTTAAGTGATCAAATTCTGTCCTATCTTCCTTCCTCAATACCCTACCTACACATCACTCTTTATGTAATTGACACAAAGGGGCAGTTACCTTTGAAATGATGTAACAACAACTGCATCTTTTGCTCGTGTTCTTTTTGCTGGAGGGTCAGTCTCCGGTCACACTGCAATTTCAGATGTTCCAGTGCAGATTCCAACTCACAAACCATACGATCCCGTTCCAAAACCTTCATTTTAATTTCTTCATTCTGTAACCGTTGTTTCCGTTCAGCTTCTCGCAAATCAACCACCTAGCAAATACATTTTTTGACCTTTTAAGTGTGTCTTAGATAGCCTAATAGATTAATCTACTTTTCTTAGGCTATATAAAGATGAACTTCCTTAACCTCCATAGTTTAAGTGACTCCTGCAAGGTACTGGGTCCTAGGCCAATGCTTTGTAACATACCCACAAAGTAATCTAACAGCCTTTTGAGTTAAGATTCTGAATTGATACCTTTCATTTTCAGTACAATGATGCTCTAATAATCACCCCTCCATAATTTCTTAGATGTGATCTCTATAGTTTATATCTTATAATTCTGTAACTCTATCGTTCTAGTCTAACGGGATATTGAAAAACTTATGACTCCTGGAACATATGGATAATTCCCAATTTTAACTCCAAAATGGATGTTATAAATTTTGTCACTTATTTATAACATCCAACCACAGAGTTCAGTTTCAGGTCATGCATTTTGTCTACTGGGTGCTTCTCTGCTGATATGAAGTGAAAATACTTCAGACAATGTCTGTGTCACAGAACTTGTTAAACTAATTTCAGTTGGTTAGAGCATGGCGGTGATAATGCCAAGGTCCACGTTCAATCCCTGTACCAGCTAGCCGCCAAAAAACACCCCCCAAACCCATAAAAAATTAATGACCTTCTCGCCAGAAAAACACTTATTTCTACAAAGGGTTCTCAGGATCAGAAAATCCACTGACCTTGGGCAGGGTGCCTTGGGTTAAGAACCCTTGCTTTAATAGCACCACAAAAGAATTGTCTATATCAAAGCCACCATTTTCCTGCCCTCCAAACACGCAATGATAGAATGTACTCTCATCAAGAATGGTAGCTTACTATGATGGTGATTATCCAAGAGGAGGCTGTGTATCACAATTTATTCATTTGTCATCTTTGTTTCACGGAATTAGAACTTTATTTAAAAATTTCAGTGTTTTATTTTTCATTAATTGATATTCCCATAAATTGAATATACTTTTCAGAGAAAAGAGTTATTCAGTTATTTAATTCATAATATATATTTTAATTAGAAAAGACACTAGAGAAAAAATGGATAGCGTTCTTAATTCTATGAAACATCTCTGGATCAGTAAATCATCAGTAAATTATTAACACTGTGAGGTGAACATACAGGTCTCCCTATCTTACAGCAATGAAGGAAAGAAAGTCAAAACTTGGAGGGCCCTTGATTTTTCATGAAAGCTGCATAGAAACAGCCAAATCGAGAAAACATCCAAGAAATAATGAGCAAGAACTTAAATTCTTTCATTTTTAAAACTATTTTTAGGGCCGGCCCGTGGCTCACTCGGGAGAGTGTGGTACTGATAACACCAAGGCCACGGGTTCGGATCCCATATAGGGATGGCCAGTTGTTCACTGGGTGAGCGTGGTGCTGACATCACCAAGTCAAGGGTTAAGATCCCCTTACCGGTCATCTTTTTAAAAATAAAAATAAAGATAAAATAAAAATTAGAAAAACCTATTTTTAAAAGGCATTCTTTTGAAAGGCCCTCCAACTTTAAGAACCTCATAAAATTAGGCCTACCTACATATTTGGATAATCATAAGGCTTTCAGATGACAACATTTAGTGCTATAAAGAGAAATCATGCTTAAATTTGTAGTTACACCATCAAATCTTTGAGCCTTTCAATTTCTTTAAAACTTCAAAATAAATATGGGATATATAAGCATCTTGACCCCTTTATAAGAAAAATGTTCCATCCCTCAAAAACAAACCTTGTTGAAATATCTGAAAAGAATAGCTCTAATCTCAACAGGACTCAGGCAAACTAGTTTTTCCAAGACATTTGCTTCAGTATGAGAGAGTTTTTGGAATGATGCTCTAAGTGAGTTCTGGCGACTCTGGATAATTTCATTCTTGTATTCAATTGCAGCTTCCAAAGCTTCAATCCCTTCTTCAAGTTGGAAAAGAATATGTTCTTCCTAAATATAATACAATAGAAATCACTTATTTTAAATAAAATAGTATAACTTGGATTTTGTCATATACTCAGATCCTACTATGTTGAGTCTAATGGACATTAACACTCTTACTAAATTTTAAGAAAATAATGTTTGAGTGCTTGATGTGCTACACAACGCACTATGTGTATACATATACAACATATAATCATTGAATCCTTACAATAAGCCTTGTGTAGTAAAATGGGAGAGGCAGAAGTTTAGGTGAGTTCTGAAACTTTCCAAGATCACAGAGCAAATGCTGATTACCTAATCTAAGGAATATACTTGAACAAAGCCTCAGTGCAAAGGATTAGCAGTATCATCATGTATCTTCCTCTGTAACTCCTAATGTACATATTATATGTTCACTAGTGAGATCCAGAGATCCTTTGCTGTCCCTTCAATGATTTAGCAAAACAATAGACTGCTAGGAGGGAAAGAATACGTTTAGAACTAGTAATCAGAAAAGAGTATCTAGGGGAAAAAAACACAGTATGGCATGAAGAAGTGAGGATTTAAGGGCATGAAACATTTCATAAGATTCCCATGAAATGTTATTAGAGGGAAAATAAAAGCATTAAAAATGGTGGCAGCATAACATTTTTTTATGTACCAGAGATTTCCTTTGCAGGAAAAAAAAATCTAATGAGTCCCTGTCAGAACACCTACTAGTTCTTTGAACTAACCAAATATTGTTATTTTGGGTGATACAAATCTCTGGTAAGAAATTATTTCAGAGTGGTGAGGCTTGGATACATGTTTCTGTATACCTATTCCTATTGTGAAGGTCGTGTGAACTTTAAGTTCCTTGAGGGCAGAATGTCTTGTTGATACTCATCCTTATTGCCTACCATCGTACCTATCACAGAGTTTAAACTCAATAAATATCTGTTGAATGAATTAATGAAGGAAGAGAGGAAAAAATATTTTCGTATGTCCTTGATTATGTAACCCACGTATTTCTCTCCACTCCTCCCCTCGGCATCCCAAAGGAAAATAATGTGAATATTTCCGATCTACCTGAAGAATAGTTAGAGTGAGTTCTGGAACTCCTTTTCTGGAATTCAGGGAACAGGCACGTAATAACCTATTCCAGTGGTAGGTTGATTAATACTTATTTTTAAAAAGCATTTTATAAAATCTTCTGAAAGAGCTATTTTGAAAAAAAAGTTCAACAGCCATTCATTTCTCTCTGCAATGACTAACCATCAGGAATTTGATGATTTGATAACTGCTCCATAGGGAACAAAATAATATTCACCTTTTTAAGGAAAAGAACCTTAAATACTGATAGGTACTTAGGTGAATGAATACGAGGAGCCACAAAATAAAAGTGAATTATCCAAAGAATGTATTTGACTTTTTTTAAATTTTTTTTTCTTTTTTTCTTTTTTTTTTTTTTTCCATGACCAGTAACGGGATCGCAACCCTCGGTGTTGCGCCCGTACCGCGACCAGCAACGGGATCGCAACCCTTGGTGTCGCGCCTGCACCACGCTCAACCAGTGAGCGGACCGGTCTGTATATGGGATCCGAACCCTTGGCGGGAGCACCGCCACACTCCCAAGCACCGCACTCTACCGAGTGCGCCACTGGGCCAGCCCAGTGTATTTGACTTTTTAATTCATACTGTGATTTTACAAAAAACAAGTGTGAAAACAGTTTGTCTTTATAAATGGCTGGGAACAATTTAGTTTCTATAGTTTTGGATCTAAGTTAAGGAAGTACTGAGATAATATAAGATAGTATGAGTATAGAACACTGAGGACAGCCTGCTCCAGAGCGAGGCTACAGCATATGAATGTGGTTCCCTCTAACCCAGCAGTAAGTGTTGGTTGACAAGATAAGTGGCAATGGAAAATTGTCCCTGGATGAAAAATCTGCCACAACACAAACCACAGATTATCAAGAGTTGACTGATTTACCACAGAGCACTACTTTTCAACTTTAATGTACACCAAGGAGCTCGTTAAAATTTAGATTCTGATTCAGCAGGGTGGGACCTGAATATCGTCATTTCTAACAAGCTCCCCAGTGATGCTGTTGCTGCTGGTCCAGAGACCACACTGTGAGTAACAAGGACTTAAAGCAGTGGTCTCCAAATTTTTGATCATACATCCTTATTAGTAAAAAACAAAACGGGGGCCAACCTGTGGCTCACTCAGGAGAGTGTTGTGCTGATAACACCAAGGCCATGGGTTAAGATCCCCTTACTGGTCATCTTTTAAGGAAAAAAAAAAAAACCAAAAAACGAAAACCTAACAAAAATTTTTGAGCAAGCACTGCATATATGTATATTTCTCTATACATGAAATGAATGTTCTAATCATGAAACATGGAATTGAAAGTTTTAAAGATGAAACAAACATAGCAGTTCTTATATTTTCTTCCTGTACGCCACTTACTAGAAAACTGCTCAGTATTATTAGAAAATGAAAGTTTAAGTATTCTTTTATTTTTTTAATTTTGATTTCTGGATTTTATTTTTAAAAGGAAGCTATTTGTCTATGTAAATTGCTGGGTAATCTTCTATTAGTGTAGCAATCTATCACTTCCCGTAAAGAAGTACAATTAGGAAAAATACTTTAATTTACTGTGGAAAGAGAAAATAATTCTAAGCAAGTTTAGACATCAAGACAGTAAACCATCTCACCTAGATTTTACTGATGTCTGTGTCACACCAGAATCTCGTGTTCCTGATCATCTGCTATTGGCAGACCTATCTGGAAATATTAATCTTGGCTTAGAAATTGTGGTGAAAGCACAGCCTGTTTCAGAGCTACACTGAGAAGAACTACTATGTTGAAGAAGTGTACATAGAAGCTTGCATAACTAAATAGAGCCCCACCTATTGTAGGAAGCTCATCATTCCCTTGAACCAATCCAGAGTGGCTGCTAAATGGGTATCATGGCTCTTGCTTCCTCTCTCTTGCTTCCTGTCACCATGTGATCTGCTTGTACCCACCAGCAGCCTGCCACTTTCCACCACGAGTAAAAGCAGCCTGAGGCCCATACCAGATGCAGCTGTTCCAGAATCTGATCTGCTTGTACCTGCTGGCTGCCTACCACTTTCTGCCATGAGTAGAAGCAGCCTGAGGCCCACGCCAGATGCAGCTGTTCCAGAATCTGGCGCCCTCAGGAGTGAGCTGCTGGGACACTTGACTGGCTCTGAATACCTTGTCACCCCTACACAACTCCATTAGTGTGAGATCCCTGGGTCATTGTCGCCACCACCAGATGGACTTTGGACCTCCCAGCCTCAGAAACTATTGAAAGTGAATCTGTGGGGACCACACCACTGCCATGCGATCCAGCAGCCCAGCCCAGTGTGCGTGGAGCGAGGAGACGTCCAGCAGGGGAGGCAGAAGCTCTGCAGAGACCACACCGCCACCGTGCAGTCCAGCAGCCCAGCCCAGTGTGTACAGAGCAGAGAGACATCCAGCAGGGGAGTAGAAGCTCCATAGAGACCACACACCCTGTGGGGGGGCCGCCGCCGCACGATCCAGCAGCACGTAGGCTTCACCTCCGCCACCCGCTCCATCCCAAGCCCAGCCCAGCGTGCATGGAGCAGGGAGACATCCAGCAGGGGAAGGGGAAGCTCCACAGAGATCACACACTCTGTGGTGCCTCCACGCATCCCAGCAGCCCGGCCCAGTGCATGTGGAACAGGGAGACGTCCAGCAGGGGAGGTGGAAGCTCAGCAGAGATCACACACCCTGTGGTACCGCCCTGTGACCCAGCAGCCCAGCCGAATCCAAGCTGACGAGAAAGGTGGCTCTCTGGAGAGGCCCAAGACCTGAGGCAACCACACACACAAGGCACTAGTGGCCAACTCAGCAGTCACTGAGGTAGCCATACCAAATTGGCAACCCCAGCAACATCTTAGTCAGACAATAGTGTCAAATGTGTGGATTGTGAAAACCCCTGCCACAATGAATACATATCAAAGAAAAGATTCCAGAAATACAAAGAATCAAGAAAGTACATCACCAAAGGGTAACAACTCTCAAGCTCTAGATCTTATAGAACAAGAAGCCCTTGAAATGTCTGACAAGGAATTTCGAGTGGTAATTCTAAGTAAACTGAATGAGATACAAGAAAACTCAGCTAGACAACATGATGAAATGAGGAAAAATATACAGGACCTGAAAGAAGAAATGTACAAGGAAATAAATGCCCTGAAAAAGAATGTAGCAGAGCTTGCCGAGCTGAAGAATTCATTCAATGAAATAAAAAGCACAACAGAGAGTTTAACAAGCAGGCTTGCAGAAGCAGAGGAGAGAACTTCTGACCTTGAAGATGGGCTGTTTGAAATAACACAGGCAGACAAAAAAAAAAAAAAAAGAATCAAAGGCATTGAAGAAAATCTGAGAGAGATATCAGACAGCCTTAAGCTCTCAAATATCCGAGTCATGGGTGTTCCAGAAGGGGAGGAAAACGGAGATTGCATTGAAAACATATTCAAAAAATAGTGGCAGAAAACTACCCAGGCATAGGAAAAGACACAGATATTCAGATTCAGGAAGCTCAAAGATCCCGAAACATATCCAACCCCAAAAGGTCTTCTCCAAGACATGTTATAGTCAAATTGGCAAAACTCAAAGACAAAGAGAGAATCTTAAAAGCTGCAAGAGACAAGCGTCAAATCACTTATAAGGGAGCCCCAATCAGACTAACATCAGACTTTTCATCACAAACCCTAAAAGCCAGAAAGGAATGGGATGATATATTCAAAATACTAAAAGACAGAGAATGCCAGCCAAGAATACTCTACCCTGCAAGGCTATCCTTCCGAAATGAAGGGCAAATAGTATATTTCTCAGACAAACAAAAACTGCGGGAGTTCATCACCACACGACCACCCTTACAAGTAATTCTCAAGGGAGTACTGGGATTGGATCCTGGAAGATAACTACCACTGCCATAACAATCCAAGTAAAATAAAAATCCACTACTATAATAAAAATGACTATCATGAAA